CCCCAGAATGGTTGGACCTGCACATATGAGGCCAGTGTTTTTCACACACACAGTTTTTTTCTGAATTTATATCTCGTGCTAAAGAATAATGCGTTTTGATTTAGTATTAGCATTATGTGTTTAGCCAGCCACTTAGTTAACAAACCATGGTTTAAAAAAGCTTAGCACATACCAGCTTTAGATTCTTAATGTGTTTAAAATAAAAATCTATTTTTTAAAAAGCAAGATATCTACTTCTACTCAAACACAGCCCTCATTGAAAACTATAATGCATGAAACAACTAACATTTGATAGCACAGAAATGACAGCTATAATGTCTGTCCTCTCTTCCTGAATTTGTTATTGGTCTGTCTTCTGTAAAATGGATGCTGCAGCAAAAATTGCAACGTAATTCAAACTGAGATGGAAGACTGAATACTTTAAAGGAACAAATGTTGTATCAGTACTTGTCCTAGATCCATACGAAATCAGACTATAAAGATTATATAACAAAATAATGATTTCTTGGGGGTACATAAAATGGTGTGATCATGAAAAAAAGAAAGGTTCTTATCACTTCGTAATTAAGTTACTGATTTTCTCAAAAAGCTTAGATTTTTCCCAACTAGTGGCCCTAGACTCGCAAAATTCCAAAATTGCACTGTTGTTAGTGGGGGGAATAACAGAATAATGAGTTTGTGGTAAAATACTTTGTTCCCCACCCTTTCAATGTATAGCAATTGCATATAATTTGTACTAAAATTATTATCTGGAAAGGCCCCCAAATTCCAGTACAGCTTTTGAATGATTTTCCCTGTTGTTGTAATATTGAAAGCCCTCCAAATTAAGCCATTCGGGGAGGGGGGGTCAGTTACATTCTGTACAGGCAAAGCATTCCACTGAGCACATCTCTCCTTTTAGAGCAAAGTTTCCTTGACTTTTTCTAGCTTTAACTACTCCCTCCTCTTTCTGCTCCCACTTAATTGCTAACCTTCCTCTTCCATAGTGCAAGTATGTCCAATTCTCTCCCCGATGCAAAAGCCATCTGCAAATGAAATTCTATCGCTCTCCAAATTTCAACCAATGCAGCATGTCCAACAATCATCACAGCTTGTTTTGTTTTGTTGGTTTAAAAAATAAAATAATAATAATAAAAAATCATCACAGCCCTCTTGGTTTTTCTAAACTGTAAACCAGATTCCTACTTTTCTGCACAGTTCAGAGGTAAAAATTGCATAGGGTGGTTTTTCAATTTGCATCAAAAATTTCTCAAGAAATCATCCATACTTCTGATTGCAGAACTGGTTTAAGTGAACATCTTCACCAATTTTGAAACATCTCATCAGGGCACAAGCCAGAAATATTTCTTGAAGTCCTTTCATTAAAGACAGATTAAGGATAGATCATGTTTTTCTAATGAAGCCACAAGTTCACAATCCAATATAAAATGCCAACTGTACTTACACTCACTCGCCACTGGTTGAGGGAGGCACCCATAACCATAACTCAATGACTGAGTGTATGATTCTGCAGATACAAGATTCAATCTCTGAATTTCCAAGTACAGTACAACAGGAAAAATTCTTGGATACGCTTTAGATACGTTTTCTCACACTGTGTGCGCAGTGTGCATAAAACATTTTGTTCACTATGGAATCCTATTAGAGGGAGATCTCGCTTACTGACCACCTCAGTTAGAACCATTTGAAGTTATGACATGACTGAAGAAGTAATTTTTATCGCCTACTCCTTGCATTTACGACCTGTCTGGCATCCGCATAGTCACATGATTGACTTTTGGGCACTTTGTAAACAGGAGGGATTTATGATGCCTCACTTAACAACCAAAGTGAATCACTGAATGACTGCAGTGGGAGGGACATCATATGTCTGTCACAGTCATTTGATGTTTCACTTAGCAATGATAGCACTTAGTAATGGAGTTGCCAGTGCCAATTGTGATCACTAAGCAAGGACTACCTTTATTCTCTTCTATTTATTCTATCTTATTACCCATACTTAAGATTATCATCCAACATAACTAAGGAAGTAATCAAATCAGTTGATGTCACATTATGCATCCTTTGGACCCAGTTGTGATGAAAGCTGAACAGATTGTGCCAGTAAATAGGCTGTCATCTAAGGAGCTCTACTCGTGTGAAAAAGCAAAACCTTCTTCTTTTTGTTCCTGTCTAACTGAACATTTTCACAAGAGGGAAATCCTTTTTTTTTCCTCCATTGAATTGCAAATTAATCTTTAGACACTACTAGAATCAAGGAAGCCCTCTCCCCACATGCATAAATCTACAATCTGACATGGGGGCACAATATTTCATCCTGTGGTTGTTATAGAAGTGCCATATTTAGTAATCTCAGAAGGTAATTTTCTTCAATGAAATGGCTCTTCTTTCCAATTGTATTTGATTTCCATCTCTAAAGAACACAGTATTTCTGAATCAGCTTTTTCTGTCTTAGCCATACCTGCTGTTTTGCTCAGTGCTTTTCAAAGACAAATAAAATACTTGACATTAAATGAATGGGAACTGGGTAGAAAGTAACAACAGCTTTCCTCCTCTCTAGCAGGGGAATGGATGATAGCTATCTGAGAGCAACTGTAATATACTTCACCTGAATGCCATAGAATTTGACAGGTACAGAACATAAGACCAAAAGAATAACCTATGGAGACTTTACAACCACACAGAAACATCAGAATTGGGGGGACAGTGAGGGGGAATCAGCCTCTGAAAAATACAAGGTGCCCATGTCAAATACCTTCCTGCATATTTTATTTAAATTAATGCATATTTTATTTTAATTAATTAATTAATTTGTAAAATTTGTTTGTCCTTGATATAGGTAAGTTGGTATTTTCTTCCCTCCCTTTCTCTGCTGGTTTATCCCATGTAGTTGAATAGACTTTGGGAACAGATAGGGATGTATCTAGCACCTCTCTATGGTGTTTTATTTTATTTCTTCATTTAAAACAATATTTCTGGGTTGTCAGAATTGTCTGACAGCCAGCAAAGCTTCTCAATGTGACGGTTTAATTTAAAACAATTTTAAAAAATTAAAAAAATAATGCACAACAACATTAAGTAAAAGTAAGGATAATTTTAAAACAGAAAGAACAATGAACACATTTTGTATCACAAATATCCATGGGAAACCAAAATACTTTAAGATCTGCTTAAAAGTAAAACAAGAAAAATGTCAATCTAACTTACTCAAGGATATAAATTTTACAGTTAGGTGGTGAGGTTGTGGAAATGGCACCAGAGAGAAGACACATCCTATGTTTCTCTTAACCAAGTTTATCTTTCTTACTACCAAATAAATTTGATTAATAGAAACCAAGAATGTCAGGCAACTTCTGGATAACTGCAGTTTAGAGCTACTACATCTAGGCTGATATGTTCGAGGCAGCCACTAGGAGGCAACAAAGAGTTAGTTTTGCTATATCTCAGTTGCCATCTACTTGCCATCTTGATTTCTGCAGCCTAGATTGATACATCTAAATCAGGCTGGCTCAGGAATTCTGGGAATTGAAGTCCACAAGTCATAAAAGAGCCAAGGTTGACTACCCCGATATAAATAAATGAAACATCTCCTAAACACATAATAAACATTTTCACATAATCATCATAACAATCACATTAATTATGTAGTTTTCTGTAATTTTCCACAATCAATTTAATGAATTGCTCATGATTAAGCCCACAATCACTGTCACGTTTTCAGTACTTTTAAGAAATTTATTAACTTATTTTTCTTTCTATTTTTTTAGATTGTACAATATACACTAGTAAGTTGCTGTTTTGTTTAGCAGATCCCATTTCCATAACACCCTGATCCGTATTTGTACATGAATATTTAACTTTTGACTCACAGAATTAAATCTGAACTGGCATAATTATTCCCGTATTTTACCTTGCCTTTCTAATAGTCATCACAAAAACAATTGGATACTACTGGAACCAAATCACAAATAAATTTGCTTCCTATGATAAGGAAATCCTTACCAGATATTTTAAAGGCTTACAGATCTGTCGTTCTTCCTCCAACCTATCTCTCCAAAATATTGCTTTAAACACAAGCCACAACTTTAAGTCTGTTATCTAAAATTTATTACTAAACTAGCTTTGGGGGCCTTTGTTTTTCCTTTTGCTCAGAAGGAATTACAAGTAGTCCTCCACTTACCACCATTCATTTAGTGACAGTTTGGAGCTACAACAGCACTGAAAAAAATTGACTTAGAACTGGTCCTTGTATTTATGACAATCACACTATCCCCACAGTTACATGTTCAAAATTCAGGTGCTTGACAACCAGCTGTTTTATTTACAACAGATGCAGCAGCCCAAGTTACATGCTGCCCAGCTGACTCCAACAAGCGAAGTCAAGAGGGGAAGCTGAATTTGCCTAATAACCACATGATTCACTTAAAAATTATGGCAAAAAAAAAAAGTTGTAAAATTGGGTGTGATTCACTTAACTGCCTTGTATAGCAATAAAATTCTGGTTCCAACTGCACTCATAAGTTGAGGACTACTTCTACATACTTGAAAACTGAAATGCAAACATATTTTCCTTCTTTTGTATAATAAGCATTGCCCATACTGAAACAACGCATTACCACTGCATTTAGAGAAAAATATTTCAAGCAAAAGAAGAAAGGGGGGGGGAATCAATAACCATACATCAAATACACCATAAGTTTTATTGTCAAGCCAGAGTACATTCGAACTTAACACTGAGACTGTTTATTAGCTAAAATAAATAATCCTCCATTGCTTGAAGAAATATACAGAACATAGGCAATGTTCCAACAACACATACACAAAAAAGTGAGGTTTCATCCAAATATCAAATAGTCCAAAGACTCTACTGCCCAAAATCTATGCATACAACCGTGACTACAATATGAGCATGGGGCATTTTGACCTTTCAAACACCTCTTTCTTGAGTTCCGAATAAGATTTTTTTTCTGCCAAAGCCATAAGCATAAACCAAGACTTACCAGATTGGAATTGGTGGCATTGGAGTCGTCTTCTGGAAAGGGGATATAGATAGCTAAGGCCACACAATTGGCAAAAATAGTCAGCAAAATAATAATTTCAAATGGTCTGAGGAATGGAGTTAAGGAAGACAGTTGGTTTCTTAAATTGTATAAGCTAATTACACTGGAAGGGGGAAAAAATTTAAAAAAAATTCTGTTTAAAGAAGACTTTTCTAATTCTTTGTTTTCTGAAAAGAAACACATGCCTTTAAAGTGGTTTTTCACCTTCCCAGCCAAGTTTCTTCCTAATATGTCAAAAACCCGATAGGCCAGTCGCGTGCCAGAGTACACATAGATTCCTTAACCTTTTTTTTTGTCTTTATTTAAACTGAAATTTATATATTTCCATCTTTGCTGTGCTGCTTTCTGCAAACCGCTTCCAACTAAGTATCTTACTCTCTAACAGCGTTTGCAATACAATTTCAATCGTCAACAATTGTTTTAGAAAACCAACTTTTAAAACTCTGTTTCTGCCTTCTTTTTTCTTCTTTGGGTTTCTCTGTGTCTTATTTCTGTCAAGTTTGGAAAATTCTTTTTTTAAAGAAAGGAGGAATATGCAAAGAAGCTCTAGGGACGTAAAAGGATATAAAGATTTAAAAAAACAACTACACCTCATAAGTTATTACATATCTACACAGGCAAGGTTACTTTAAAGGGCACTTTTAACCTGTAAAAATATGAGTTTAGTTACACTGCATGTCCTGTATTCTGGAATTAAATAACAGTTTGTGATCTTATTCCATGTAGTAGACCTGCTGTACCCTGTTTTTCCCTTTTGGTTGAATTTGTATGCAGGATGTTAGGGAAAAGTAAGACACAGCAATGTGTCCCTGAGATATTTTACTTTGACCCATTTGCTTTTCTGGTAGTTCATAACAGAATATCTGCATTTAAAAGAAAAACCCTAGCTCTATCAAAATTTGATTTTGGTTTCCCTTCTCCAAATCTCTATTGTATTTTTCTGTAGTTTTCCTATATAGTAGAGATGGATAAAACCAAAGTATCTGGCACTGCAGAAGTTCAAGTATAACTTTCTTCCCTATAGAATTGTGTTTTACATTTTAAGGTCAAATGCACGAATATAAATTCTACTATGGCAGTTTCTGGGAACAGAACTGTATAAAGACAACATCATGTGGAAAACAATATATCAAAGCAGGAACCTACACTGATCTAAAAATGACAAATAGATTAGATTGATGCAGAGATTCAAAACAAGGCTTTGATCAATTCTCTAAACTGAGTTGATTTCTGAATCTAATTACATTGTTCTACATCAATTCAACAAGTTGAGAATGTTTTTGTAAATGCCCACAACAATTCAGTTTTAAGCTGAGTGGATCTGAACCATTTTTCAAATTGATGTGAGCCAAACTGAATCAGACTGATGAATTCTTATAGAATGGAGCAGCATATATGCTCAAGTAATCAATTGACTTATTTACCATAGAGCATGCAAAGTACATAGACTTCTTGCATATGATTGTGCCATTTTTGCTTTCTCTAATATAGTTAAAGATCAGATTGAAATATGGAACTATGGAAAAAGACATTCTGAACTAGAGAAAGCAAGCAATTAGCATTTGATTCCAGAGATGCATTTTGCCCCAGTTCTTTTAGATAGCTAATGCCCTGTTCATAATTTTATATTGACCTGCATAATGACTTAAGCATTCAAAATCTCTGTTCAACTATTTCCCTCTTTATTAAAATAGCTTTTAAATTTCTCATAGAAGCATATTTGGAAGGGTTTAAATAGGTTTCTTTTTTAGTAAAAGGAAGCATAAATTAATGAATGTCCAAAAAATAATTACTATACTGAGAAATTTTCACTATGTCTTGATTTTAGAGAGAGAGAGAGACAGCATTTTTATATAAAGCTTGTTTTTATTGTTTCATAATAGTTTTACATCTGTATCACTATTTCTGCATCTATATGAAGATGTTGGAGAAACTTATACCGGATTCTCAGAGGCATCTGGTTAATCAATGTAGGCAGAAGGCATGAGATTAAAGATTCATGAGTTCCATTACTTTATATCAAAAATTAGTGGCAAAATACTGTTCAGAAATGCACAAGCCGAGCATGATGACAGAGGTACATCATGTTTCTTCCTCCAAGATCTGGTCATCAGAAGCACTGGGAGATTGTTCCTTTCCTAAGATGATGGCCATCTGACCAGGACGCCTGTTGCCTTCCAGATGGGCTGGGATTACAATATCATGGTTACGTTTTGCCCCAACAAATCTGGAAGGCAGGTCAGGGAAAGCTATATAATACTGTTACACACAGTGTAAAATGTACGTATAATACAATTACATATACAGGTAGTACTCGACTTATGACCACAATTGAGCCCAAAATGTATGTTGCTAAGTGAGACATTTGTTAAGTGAGTTTTGCCCCATTTAACAACCTTGCCACAGTTATTAAGTAAATCACTGCAGTTGTTAGTAACACGGTTACTGGCTTCTTCATTGACTTTGTCAGAAGGTCACAAAAGGTGGTCACATGACTCCAGGACACGGCAAATGTCGTAAATATGAGTCAGTGGACAAGCGTCTGAATTTTGATCACGTGACCCTGGGGGTGCTGCGAAAGTGTGAAAAATGGTCATAAGCGACTTTTTTCAGTGCTGTTGTAACTTTGAATGGTCACTAAGTGAACTGATATAAGTTGAGGACTACCTATATACACTGATTGTTGTACACTGCCCCAAGCCACTTCCAGTGAGATGGGCAGCTATATAAATTTCATTAATAAATAAATACATAGATTGCAATACAATCACCAGGTGGATTTTATTTGCCAGCAATTAGTTCATAATGATTACAGTTAGTCCTTGATTTATAACTATTCATTTAGTGACTGCCTGAAGTTGCAACAGTACTGATAAAGGTTACTTATGATCCGTCCTTGCACTTAGGACTGTTGTAGCAACCCCACAGTTACATGATCAAAATTCAGATGCTTTGCAACCAGCAAGTATTTACGATTCTTGCAGCGTCTTGGGGATGACATGATTTTCATTTGCGACTTTCCCATCCAGCTTCCGACAAGCAAAATCAATGGGTGGGAACCAGATTTGCTTAGTAACCATGCGATTCACTTAACTGCAGTGATTTTCTTAACAATGAGGGCAAAACAAGGTCATAAAATTGGGCACAACTCACTTAGGAACTGGCTTGCTTAGCAACAGAAATTCTGATCCCAATTATGGTCATACATCAAAGACTAGCTGGCAAAGGATCCCATTCCTGAGATGCTGGGAGGATTTCAGCTATTTCTTTGTTGTGTTTTCCAAACAATATTACTCTGCAGAGACTGACCTAACTGTATTATTCAACCATTTCCGGATCTCACCCCTGTACTCTTATTTTGCAACACATCCAGCGGTTCAGCTAGCGCAAATCTCTTCCATTTATCAGGCCTTCACTTGTGTGAACTGCCTAGAGATGCATAGTTACTCAGATGCCAGGCAAATAAACAAATATCAGCTTGGCCCCCTTAAGTTAGCCATCCATCACTAGATGCCAAATGTGGAGTTTCTTCGTCCAGAAAAGTAAGATGTAAAATTAATCCAGAAGATCAAACAATAGTAGAGGAAAAAGAAAGAGAAAGGAGAGCTGGAGGAGATCTTTAAACTTTGACAAGTCAATTTTTAAACTCCCCTAATACTGAAGGAAAAATTGTTTTAAATACTCTGGTAAAATGGTGAGGTTTTCTATTTATCCCTCCTGCTTTGCTTAGAGACAAACCACTCATAATAAATTTAATTTCAGAGCCACCTACATTCTTGTATTTAAATCAGAATCTGGTTTAATTTTGTTTAAAAAAAGAGATAAAGATCTGGATCAGATCTTCTTTGGATCAACTAGGTACTTATAACAGACTTTATTTCTCAGTTAGACAAATAATAGTCAAGAAGAGCAGATTATGGAAGGATCACAGAAAATGTCTCTTTTGATAGGTAGCACCTGGTCATCTTTTGTTTCCTTACCCAATCAAGGCAGAAATAATATATTTGAAGATTAGTCTTAACTTTGGGGTAATCTATTGATAGTACATACACATAAATGTTGGGTCAATTCAATTATTAGATAAATAGATTTCTGCATCAAGGTTATTCTTTTATGTAGTATAGGCACTTTTGTTAAATACAGATGGGAAAGTTTATAACGATTTATGCATCCATTGTGTAAGGGAGGGAAATATATTAGATTTTTAAATGTCTCCTTCAGCATTTAGCTCGGATGGATTTTTTTTAATGTTTAATGTTAGATGTATTTCATATTTGGGTTTTTTCTTTTCTTTTTTTGTACACGTGTTTTTTTATTTTTGTTGTTAATGTTGGATGTTTGTTAGTCCATTTTCTTCCCTTTTTTTGTTTTGCATTTTAACTTTGGTGATAAAAGAATAAACATGTTTTTTTCAAAAAAAAAAAAGACAGAAATAATACAGTACTTGAGTATAAAATGGTCAAGGAACCACTCCTGTATCCTTCCCCAGTTTTCATTCTTCTATAAATAGCCATTTCTTGGCCTCCATAAATCTGACTGAAACCATTCCCAGCCTATTCCATCTTATCTGCATCTCCTCCCTTTAATCTGCAGGTTTATTTACAATTCCAATCAAACCTGATTGCAAACTGATGACTTGCTGGTTCCCACATGTTTACACCAAAAAAGGATATTTCCATTCAACAATACTGATACATGCCCTCCGGATGGGATTTTTCAATGTTAAACACAGCAGTGCCCGGGGAGGACGTGTAGCGATCGTGGTACCCTGTTTTTTCTGTTTTCCATACTGTTGCCGTTTCCTCTGTGTGGAACTAGCAGTGGATATGGTTGCGTTGCCGGCAGCACCCATCAACTTCGCCTGCCTGGCAGCGTCGATAGCAGCCTGCCACGAGAGGGCTGCACCCGGAGTAGGGATATGCTCAGGTGCCAGACCTGTTGCTGCATTGGCATTCATGTTGGCATGAGCCGGACGGGGACTCACATAGTTGGAACCTAGAAGTGAGAAAAAGAAGAGATTGAAGATAAAGCTGAGAAAGGCAGCACAGCCTTTGGTTTAAGTCATTCCACAATTACGTCCAGCCCAAATCCAAGATTGGTACATGGCAATTCTTCCAAGCTAAGTTCTTTATTGTTTCACACCTGTAATCAAAATCTTGCCAGATTGAAGACTTTAATATCTGCATCTACAATATACTCTATGTACTATTAGGGAGCAGCTGTCTTTACCCTCTTTCTCTCACACAAAATATCTGGGCTGGGTTGCCTCTTAATCCACTGGAATGCAACTCCTCCGTCCTGGGGATCCACCTCCTCACCTAATTCCCTCACAATTATGCCACAAGGATATAATAGTTGGGTTCTTTTATGACAACAAAAATGAGGATATGCAAATTAGAATATTTTTGCCCATATACAAAAAGCTAATTCCAGTATTGAATCACACTATATGACCAGGAAACAATGCAACTCAGGATGTGTACCATCAATATTAAAAGAAGAGAACAGACACTTAAAAAGAACCACATACCAAATTCTTAGATTTTTAATTTATTGTTATTGTATTCTTAGCCAGATGAATCGTGTGTGTGGGGGGAGAGAACTTAGGATTTTCTGCCTCAAATGACCTACTCGCTTGTCTGAATTTGGCAAAGTATATAAATCTTAATTTGGGACAGATGTTCACCATTTTCTCGTCCTCATGAGACAAAGCAACATGGCTTTGCTCAGGCATGAGTCAACCACTATTCTATGCATATTTTACGAATTTTTATTCAGTTTGCAGCAGTTTGAAGATTTGTAGCTCCAGAACTTAATTTGTCACCCTAAGTCTTTTGTAATAAAAATGTTAGTGCTCAAAATGTCTACTTGATAGTCTAGGAAAAAGAGCCCAGATGTTGTAACAATCTGTCTGAGTATTTATTTCTGTGTTACACATTTAAAAATAAAATGTTGGCTGAAATGATGTAACGTTATTCCTACTGAAATTACAATGGAAAGAAAAAAATTAAGCAGTAAACAAACTTTTGAGACTGGACATGCAGTGAAAAGTTGACAGGTCATTTATTGCACTTTAATCACATAACTTGGCATGTCATTTTGGAGGGGGGGATTTCCATAGAGAATTGCTTTTCATAAAGATTCTGGGATTACATAAGGTAACTAAAAAGTAATTCAAATTATTTCTTCTGGAATGTATTCCCCCCACCACCATTTTCCCAATTTAATTTGCAAACTGATATTCTGGTGATGTTTAATTTTCTGGTGATAGCGAAGCTAAAGGAATCAAGTTATGTTTAGCTTAACGAAGAGGGGAGACACGATAGCAGTCTTTCAATACTTGAAAGCCTGCCAGAAGGAAGAGGGCATCAATTTATTCTCCATAACACCTGATGGTAGCTTGAAGCTTGTCAGAAAAAAATCCAATCTGTAAATAAGGAGGCATTTCCTGATAATCAGACCTATTAGCCAATTAAATAGCTTGCCTCCCAGAGTTGTGGGTACTCCAACACTGGATTCCTGCCTTGGGCAGGGGTCTGGATTAGAAGACCTCCAAAGTCTTTCCAGCCCTATGACTCTATGATCTCCCATGCAAGTTATTAACCCAGATCTGAACATGCTTAGCTTTTTGAGATCAGCTAATCTACCTCACCTGGTAACTGGAAAAGAATCAAAATAATTGTTTGGGAGGGCAAGCCAATAAACCAAGATTAAAGAAAAACAAGGCAGAATTATTATTAATTGTAACTCTAATTTGACTTATTATAGAGTACAGTACTCCAGTCAGAGTACAGAGAATTCATAAATAAATACATATGTAATTATATGTCCAAATAAAATATTACTGATGTCTGTTTATTTCCAGTTCTTTTTCTGAGTGCTATTTAAAATGTTATCTCTCTCTCTCTCTCTCTCTCTCTCTCTCTCTCCCTCCCTCCCTCCCTCCCTCTCTCCCTCCCCCAACAATACAGAGGGATAGAATCAAGATCATGTGAAGTGTTAATACCACTTTACAATGTCTTGGTAAGGCCACACTTGGAATACTGCATCCAGTTTTGGTCACCACGATATAAAAAAGATGTTAAGACTCTAGAAAGAGTACATTGAAGAGCAACAAAGATGATTAGGGGACTGGAGGCTAAAATATACAAGAACGGTTGCTGGAATCAGATATGTCTAGTTTAATGAAGAGAAGGATGAGAGGGGACATGATAGCAGTGTTCCAATATCTCAGGGGCTGCCATAAAGAAGAGGGAATCAAGCTATTTTCCAAAGCATCTGAAGGCAGGACAAGAAGCAACGGGTGGAAACTAAGCAAGGAGAGAAGCAACCTTGAACTAAGGAGAAACTTCCTGACAGTTAGAACAATTAATCAGTGGGACAACCTGCCTCCAGAAGCTGTGAATGCTCCAACACTGGAAGTCTTTAAGAAGAGATTAGGCAGCCATTTGTTTGAAATGGTTTAGGATTTCTTGCCTGAGCAGAGGGTTGGACTAGATGACCTCCAAGGTACCTTCCAACTATTATTATTATTACTACTACTGCTATTATTATTATTATTATGGATCATCGCACAGTCAGCCAGATGTTCAGACTGGATTTGGCATTTTGTCTACCTATCAAGTCCTTACCCAGGACCTAGGATAGGCAGATGTGGATGTTTGATGGTATTACAGATATTGTTGCAGGATGGAAGCAGTTCCTAGTAAGGCCGCCTTTTGCAATTGACTAATAGCGAATTTGTCAATGCCAATGGTATTCAAGTGGTGCTCCAGTTGTTTTGGGATTGCACCCAAGGAGCCTATTACTATTGGTACTACCCTTGCTTGCTTTTGCCACAGTCTTTCTATTTCTATTTGTAGTCTTTGTATTTTGTTATCTTCTCCAGTTCTTTCTCGTCTATTCTGCAGTCTCCAGGCACTGCCACGTCCACTATCCAGACTTTTTTGTCTTTCTTATCGACAATTGTTAAGTCTGGGGTGTTATGTTGCAGGTGCTTGTCTGTTTGAATTCTGAAGTCCCACAATTTTATGATCCCACCAGTTTTTGCTTACAGGCAAATGATATTTTTTACAGATCTTCCAATGCACCACTGTTGCTACTTTGTCATGCCGCTGCTTGTAGTCAGTCTGTGCAATCTTCTTGCAACAGCTTACCAGGTGGTCCACTGTTTCTTCAGCTTCTTGGCATAGGCGGCACTTACTGTCTGTTGCTGTCTTCTCAATTTTGACTTTATATGCATTTGTCCTTAAGGCTTGGTCTTGTGCAGCCAGAATTAGTCCCTCGGTCTCTTTCTTCAATTTCCCTGCTCTTAGCCATTGCCAGGTTATTATCTGCTTTCCCAGCTATTTTTTTTTAATGTATTGGCCATGTAGTGCTTTGTCTTCCCATGCCTCTATTCTGTTCTTCATTTGGTTTTTCTTGTAGGCCAGTTTGGTCTCTCCAGTAGTCAGTAAGCCTTCCTGATATACTAATTTCAGTGCATCTTCATCATTGTTCTTCAGATATTCTTCCAAAGCCATTTTTTCTTCTTAAACCATCTGATGTACTTGTAGCATTCCACGCCCACCTATTTGCCTTGGTAGATAAAGTCTATCAATGTCACTGCGTGGATGAAGGGCATGATTCATTGTCATTATTTTTCTGGTCTGCCTATCCATTGCTTTTAGTTCTGCTTGAGTCCAGTCCACTATTCCAGCTGTGTACCTAATGACTGGAATTGCCCAGGTATTGATTGCCTTTATGGTATTTCCTCCACTGAGTTTGGACTTTAAGATCTTCTTCACTCTCTTGATGTATTCACTCTAATCTTTTTCTTAAACTTCAGTGTGCTTGATGTTGTCAGCTTGAAGGATACCCAAGTATTTGTAGTAATCTTCCTCATCCAGACTCTTAATGTTATTTTCGTGGGGCATTATTATTATTATTATTATTATTATTATTATTATTTAGACGTGAACCTCAGTCAACTGAACATTCAAGTTGACTGGTGCTAATGGTTGACACGGGTTGCTGCCAGTATGCTAGGTATCAACCAGGTACCTCCTTAAAATATAAGATGTTTCAAGTAGCACAGTTTCTTGTAGCATTGCTGGAGTTATTGCAGGAAGCTGCAGTTTTTTGAAATATTTTGCAAAATTTTTGGACATAGTTTCCATTGCCCTGATGACAATGGGTATCACTGTTACACGTTTCATCCATAATCGCGCAGTTTCGATGGCCAGGTCGCGATATTTTGTAATTTTTTCCAGTTCTTTTTCTTCGACTCCGGCATCTCCTGGTACAGCAGTGGTTCTCAACCTTTTTAATGCCGCGACCCCCAACTGGTCGTAAGTTGAGGACTACCCAACTGGTTGTAAGTCGAGGACTACTCAACTGGTACAGCACCGTTTGCAGAATGGGACCTTTGGCGGGCTCAGCAGGGCAGAGACAGCCTGGACAATTCCTATTGGCTTTTGAAAACCAATAGAATAAAAGGGAGTAGCACAGCTAAGGAAAAGGGGGAAAAAATGGCGGACTGCATTGTTTGGCGACCCCCGTGAAATGGTCATTTGACCCCAAATGGGGTCCCGACCCACAGGTTGAGAACCACTGTGGTACAGCGATATCAATCAGCTGTATGCTTTGGTTCTCTACAACTGCGACATCCGGCGTGTTATGTTCCAAATGGCGATCTATCTGTATTCGAAAGTCCCACAAGATCTTCACCCTCTCATTCTCAACTACTTTTTCCACCCTATGTTCCCACAACTTGTCGGGACATAGGCAAGTCGTATTTTTTACATAATGCCCAGTGGGTTAATTTAGCAACTCGGTTATTATTGTTGTTGTTATTATTATATAGTGGGACTTAGGAAGTGCACAGATTCCATAGTGGTTCCTGCCCTTCCCCCACTATACCCCCATTTTCCTAGCCTTCTGATAGGGTTTAAAAAGCTGGATCTTCCCATTAGCATTTGGATAGATTGAGGTTGGAGCCCAGTGATTGTGACTGT